TAGTCAGAATAGTGTAAATATTGAAAGTGGCTGTGTTACACTGAAATAGAACATCACAAAATCATTTTTAAATTGAAAAAAAAAAAAATCTGAAAATTTAACTTGCACACGAATAAATCACTTGATTAAAAGCTTCTGTACGAAAAAGTAAAATAAAATAAAAAGGCTTTATAAAATATTTACAATAAACTCAGATAATTAGAATATATGTTAGTTTATTTTTTCAAATTTTATTGTACAGTGTGGATCACAATTGATTTTTTTCCCTCGTAAACTATTCTGCGTTCCACGGTTATAAATTTGTTGCATTTGTGAAAATATACGCTTCGTTGGCTTAAAACAAAAAAAAAGTAGACAAAAATAAATTGAGAAAGGCTAGGTTTTTTTAAACCCAGGGGAGATCACTCCTGTACGCTGCAGCTAGCAGGGGAGATTATTACTGTATAATTATCGTCACAATCTTTATTTTTCTATCCACTAGTAAACATTTGATTAGATCTTTATCAGTATATTCACTTCTGAAGACAATTAAAAAATTTAATAACTTATACGATTTCTCAATATACGTTTTTAATAGATTACAGTAAAATTCTAAAATAATAAAAATTTGTTGTTATTTATTATTTATTAATGTTTCCAATAAATTTTATTTAGCTGTGAAAAAAAGACAAAATATGCACCTCCTCCATCCTATCCAGCAAATAAATTATGCATTTGGCTAAAGTTGACAATTTACGTTTATTCTACTTTAAATCAATCAATATTTTTAGTTAATATATTTATTTCTGGTATTTTATAAAATTTCTACTTTACAGAAATTTCTAGAATCACAAGTTTGATAGAAACAATATGGAGGTGCATATTCCCATGATGCATTATCTTAACCTTTTTTTTAACTATAGTTACTTTTTTCCTTTCACGTTTTTTTTTCTAGATAAAGAAAGGAAAAATGGAGAAGGAAATTTGGAAACTGTATAAAAATAAGGAAACTAAACTTTTGTTTTTTGTTCTCCTTTCAGTCACTTCCCAATAATTATGTGACAATAAAAATTCTGTTCCAATTCCCCTCAAAATAAAAAAGGTTACGAAAATACCATATTCTAGACTTGTCTTATTTCTTTTTATAAATATGAATTGTTTCAATGTTTCAAATGATTTGTAACCTGGACCAATTTCATGTTTTGTGGAGTGAGGAGTAACTAATAAATAATGGTACTGTTACTAGTTTCCTCTTATTTAACGCTGCATTAGTCACATAAGGTGTTTTGTTACCCCCCAAATTTTAAAAGTACTCATAATTCCTAGATGGTTAACTTCTTTCTTTTGCTACAACTATCCTGACTCAGGGAGGGTGTTTAGCACATGGTGTGGCACAGTTGTAACTCAGTTGTCATGGGAGGGGATTATCCATTTTTGGAAATCCATGGTGACTAATGCTGGTTTAACGATAAAATTTCAAAATCCTGAAGAGAATTTGTTTTTATTATAAAGATGCTTAAAAAAAAAAAAATTATCAGAGAAAGAAAAATAACTCTCCACAAAGCATTAGAAATTAAGCTTAAAAAAAGAAATATGTTGAAAAAGGTGGAAAGTTTTGCAATTCTCTTTTTTTTAAGAATAATTAGTATATTAATTTTGCAATTACCTAACTGGAAAAACCTTGTTTAAGAAATTGATGTCGATCAAAAAACTTAAACTGTAAGCTTAAGATAACATTAACAACTTTATCAATAAGATTAAAGAATAAATCTTTTGACCCAAATTGCATCAACAGTCGTCAAAAAGTTTTCTTCTTTTTTTTTTTTAATTGTCCAGTGTACTTAAATATTGATTGTTCATTTATCAGTATTAAAACTAGTTATTCCATGAAGTAACAAATAATTTTCATCAAAATACTTGTAAACTATTTAATTGAAAATCGACAAGAGAGAAACTGTATGTCTTTACAAACAATTATTTTGTAGGAATAATATTTCAAAGCTTTGTTTACATATATTGAAGATAAGTAAAATAATTTTTTTTTTTGATTACAGGAACTTATGATAATTATTCAACTTCAAAATCAATTACAACTGGAAAATTTTACTTTTCTTTTCATTGTAAAATAAATAGTGAAGATTTTGTATCAAAAATGAAAACTTACATCCTAATATTATTTATTAATTTTCACTAATATTTATAATAAAAAATTCTATACAAGTGATAATTTTTACACAATACCCTGCTCTCTGCTGTACACACCTTGCTCTCTTTCTCATATTGAAATCAAACTTTCTGTATCATTTTAAATATTTGTTTTAGTATTGTTTTAGAGAAAAATATTTACAATGAAATTTAACAAAAACAAAAAAAATTATATATGTATTCAAATCTGTTAACAATAAAATTATATAAATATGTATAATCATTATCAAACTGTAAAGAAAATAAAATTTTAACAAAACATGGTACTATTTCCCCACAAGGTCAATGTTCAAATGACTGCAGCAAAGAATTTTTTAAAAGATGTTTTTGCAAAATCCTTTGGTTTTTTTTTTCATTCTCTTATTAAATTAGTAACAAATAGCCATAGCAACAACTTTCATCTTAAAAGCAAAAGTTCAGTTGAAAACTCTTACAGGGATACACGTAGTAACATCTGTAAAGGTTTTTCATCTTTTAATCAGTGTGGTCGTATATACCAGAAAGATAAAATGACGATTTTGCAATGTGATAGTATTTGAACATTGACCATTAATTTTGCATTCATTAGAGACTAAGAAAAATTCAGTACTAATCTTTTGTCTTTTTTTTTTCTTCAGCATATTTTTCTTTGAAAAAGCTTTATATATATTATATTATATATTTTCACTTCACCTATACAAGGAGTATACTTTTTACCATGCCTCATATTTTAAGTATGCTGTATTGAAAAAAGTAATTCATTAATACACAATACCAACAATTATAGACGCTAAGAACAAAATTAATTAATTCTTATGTAAACTATTTTATCACAAAGATAATTCTTAAATATGCTAATTTGAAAAGATTGAATGCTTGGAGTTAATCAGCTTACAAAATAGTAATTATCAGATTAAAAACATATATATATATATATATATATATATATAAATAAATAAATGATATATAAATTTTTATTTATCAAGAAATAGATTAGACTATATACCCAAAAGATATATTTAAAAAAAAAAAAAAAAGAATTTTAATCTTAAAATTATCAGCATCCCCTTTATGTGCACATGTAGTTGCATTTTATCTGTGATAAAATATTCTATATTTATGCGTTAAAGTGCTTAATATCATGGATAGAGTGAATGTAAATATAAAAGTGGACCTTGAATTCAACACCAAGAAGTGACAGTCTGTTTCATGCTAAATGCAATCATCAGGCCTGACTATTACGTTTAGCAATGAAACTGGCCTGACAATTGTGTTTAGCATAAAACAAACTGTCACCTCTTAGTGTTGACTTCAATTTACACTTATATATATATATATATATATATATTTGTGTGTGTGTGTGTGTGAAAATTATTTTTATGTATATTAAAAAGCTCTTAAATATATTTAAAATTGAGCACTCTTATATACATAAGTAATATATATATATATATATATATATATATATATATTTTTGTTAAGTGTAAATTGTCTTTGTTGTTATTATATATATATATATATATATATATATATATATATATATATATTGCACTTGGAAAAGTATGTTTTTTAAAACAGCAGATGTTTTTTACAACATCAGCTTCACATATAAGTATTTTGCTGTGTTGATGCTTTCATCCATGAAATGGTTTTAAACAAACACACCAATAAAGTAGCCAACAGCAGCAATGATAATTTTACTAAGTCAATATGATTAACTTACTATCATTTTAATATTTTTTTTTACTTATATGTTATTTAATCTGTTAAATTTTTTTAATAAGAGATGGATTAAAAAAAAAATGCATGTTAATGATAAATTTTCTGATAAAAAGATAAAGGACTTAGTTACAAGCAAGATCTTAGTGGGAAACAGTTAAAAATGAAAGCATATTATGACACAAATATTTTCCTCCCTTTAAGCAGACCCAATTTAATTTTGGGCAAAAGTTTTCTTCAAAATATAAATATTGGATCAAGTTATCACAACCAAATTTTTCCTTCCTCTTTATTTTTGTCCATTTATCAACAGTCTGCCTTAGCAAATATATTTTAAATTTTTACTTTGGCTATGTGTCAAGAAAAAGAAAACAGTAGCAATATACATTTTTCTTTTATATAAAGACATAAGCCAATAACCAAACAATTAAGAGATAAATAAAACTCTCATACTACAATCGATCAAAAAGAAAAAAAAAACGATATATTTTGTCAATAATAATTATCTATTATGATAATTATTATTTAAAAAAAATAAAAAAATAAAATTACGAAAAATCCAAAAAAGAAAAAAAAATTTGGGAAGGATTTTTTTTTCTGATTTTGAACAGTAGAAAGGTTTAAGGCTATTATTGCATATCAAATAGTTTATAAATATAATAAACTATGACGTTTGTGTTTTTTTTTTTGATAAAAATGAAAGGAAAAAAAATATATGCATAAGAAAAACAATATTCCCACAAGAGTTATGTCCCTTGAGACGAAGCTTGCCTTAAAGGAAGACGCGTTTTTTGTTGCTTCATTTTTTTTTTTTTTTTTTTTTTCATTCGTGCTTTTTTTTTTAATAATATATACAGTTTAGTAATTTTTTCCCAGGACCAGGAGAGAAAAAGCATAGATAGAGTTGATTAAAAGCCTTCTGAATTTTTAAAATTCCATTGTTTTTTTGCTTTGTTTCTTTTTCATATCGAAAAAATGAAGAAAGCTTGTCAATCTTTTCACAGTTCAGTTAAATGGATAAAAAAATGTAGCAAAAACTGTTCAATAACAAGAAAGGCACTTGGAGGGGGGAAAAACATGGTAGTAATGATGGGTGGCAGTGAATTTGGAAGAGAACATCATGTTGAAAACCAATGAGGCTGTTCATTGTTCAAGAATTTTTCCGAGAAGTCGCTTACACAGGTTAAACCAACGTGAAAGGTTGATAAGAACCACCAGGTGATGTGCAGGTCTGCAAAAGACACAAAAGTACATCAATACATCAAGAAAAAAAATTTCACCATCATTTTATGAAATTCAAATATCAGATTTGTTGAAGAGAGTGTAGCAACTTGAAGCAAATCTGTCAAATAGGACTAAGCATAAATTCAAATCAATTGTTGGCAAACTTGGACCTTTGTACCCACAAAAAAAAACTACTTCATACTTTTAATGTCCCCACCTAAACTCTGAAATTTTATTTGCTATTTATTTATTTATTTTTTCCTCAATAAGAGTAAATAGGTTTGCCTATTGTCCAGTTCACACTCCTCCCAGGTTTTTGAATATTAGGTTTATCCCTTGTTTCCTGTTTAGGACTGGGTTTATACTTCCTTCTGAAGTCTACTTCAAATCTATACTTCTAACATCTAATGCCTAAACTCTGAAATTTTATTTGCTATTTTTTTTTCTCAGTAGTTTTATATATATATATATTTTCTCAGTATATATATTTTTTTTTCTCAGATATGTTTGCCTATCATTCATTTCACCGCCCCCTCCCCACTCCAGTCTTTCAAACAGGAATAATACAAAATAATACCATTAAAAGCCAAATCAAGAGGAAATCATTTATATAAATTTCAGTAGTGTAGTTAAGGGGCAGTCCACTCTTTAATGAAGGTGACACTTCTGAGTCTGCTGTATAGGCTGTATTGAAATATAAGTAGTTTTTTAATGTCGGGACACTATACACAGTTGAAGGACCTTTTTGATTTCCAATAAGTGATTTTTATCTTGGCTGAACAATAAACATTATCCAGTGATGTATTCAGGTCTGTTTTATCTGTCAGATTCCAATCTGCGTTTGATCTTTAACTCATTCATATATATATATTCAAGCTTTTGAATCTTTCTGTACTTCGGTTTTGATTGGTTATTCTAGCTTTTGTAACAATGCTCCCCCTAGTGTAGGATCGTTAATTAATCTGAAACTTTTAAAACCATTTATTTTCTTTTCAACACCATCACTTGATAAGACACAGAGTGTGTTGAAACAAAATGGCTATTTTTGTAGTGATTTTATAACATACTTATGTTATAAATTTTTTTATAAAAATAATTATATATATATATATATATATATATATATATATATATATATGAGGAGGCATGGTGGAGTAATGGGTAGCGGCTTGGATTGAGGAATTGGAGAGCTGAGCTTGAATTCCAGTTGAATCCATTACATTCACTTACATGCTAATACCCTTGGGAAAGGTGCGAGTCCTCTTCTTCTCCCTCCAGCTATCGGTAAATAGCAGGGCAGACTGGGTTCTATAGCTTTGGATGGCAACTGGTCTAGAAGGACAATTCTGAATTCAAAACCTGCAGAGGGTCGTTTGTGCTGTTCTTGGGCTGTCAGTTTCCTAGGAACTGATCTGCTTAACCCTCATATGTCGAGTATATATATATATATATATATATATATATATATGTCAAATCAGTCAGGTTTCAATCCCGTCTTGAAGCAATCAGATGTCTAGTCACACTGAAGAACTGTGATACAGTGAAAAAGTCTGTCTGTGGATGACAATGTATATGCTCCGGGGATGTCTGGTCAAGCTCTCAAGAGAAAGGGGTTTTTAAAAACAGCGGCTCCTACTGCTATTAATGCATTAGTAACAGACAAGAGAAGGTGGGAGATTAAAACTTAACAGAGAGAAGTTTTAGAGAGCTCTCTGTTAAGTTTTAATCTCCCATCTTCTCTCGTCTGTTACCCTTCTCTTTAGCTCTAACATTCGTCCCACACTCTCATACTTACACTCTCTCTAAATTCTATTTTCTATTTCCGGAGTTGTTTTTTCTGTTTTCTTTTTGAATTTGTAGGTCTGATGAATTGGATCGTATTTACGATTCCAATGGAATAAATTATAACCATGGAATATTAGTGTTTAAGCCTTTTTATTATATCCTTACTCTGTCCTGGACATTGAGTTCTACCTGGATTCTATCCTCTTGGAATTTTTTTATTAAAAAAAAATATATGTATGTGTATGCATGTATGTATATATATTTTGCATATGTATGTGTATATTTACCACTAATATTATATATATATATATATATATATATATATATATATATTGCAACATGCATATAAATGAATTTCTTCCACAGGTGTTATAAATACAGTGCTCAGTGTTATAAGACAGATCTCTATTAATGAATATAAATAATATCCAACATCAATAGCATAAGTTGAAAATTTGTGTTAAAACTTGTTTATTTAATTACCATTGCATAAAATATTAGAATTAACTATTAATAATTTAAGTAAACAATATATCAATATTTATTATTACATAAAATACCCAAGTTATATCAATTAACTTAAACTAGAACACAGGGTGGAAATATAAAAAAATAAAAGGTGGGGACTATAAATCTAATGTACTAATATTTATTTTTTTTACTTTTGAATCCAAAATTAAATTAAAATGATTTTACAAATTTTTTTTTATTTATAATTTTTTAATTCTTCGGCTTTTGAACTTAAGAATTTGAATGGTATAAATTATTAATAGGTAATTCTAATATTTTACACAACAATAATTAAATAAACAAGTTTTAATGCACAATTTTGAATTATCACCACAAGAACATGAACTCCATAATGGTTAGAACATATTTACACCTGAGGATTGCAAGAACTGCATGAAACTCCGAGTCATGCTATCGACATTGGAGATTATGTATATTTATTAATATATATATATATATATATATGAATAAAGACAAAAGGAAAAACTTGTTTTAGCAGATGCATAAGACTTTTATTTTGCAACAAGTATTTATAAACAAAAGTAAAAATGTTAGTTTTCCAAAATTTTTAAATTTAAGAGATGCTCATAAATATTCATCAGGTTAACTGAAAAGTCTACGTAAATTACGGAAGAAGATAAGTGACATCATTTAATGTCTAATAAACAAAAGCGAGTAAATGATGTTGATTTTTTTCGGTGGAGTGGGAGGTTTACTGTAAATACTTGATGCAAAATAAAATCCTTACATCAGAATACAAAAAAACATTGGCTAAGAGAAGTTTCCCGTTTATCTTTATTCATATTATCCTTTTACAGATATATTTTAGCTACATCTAAAATTTTATATAAGAGGGAGTCACTGTGCAATATGTTTTAATTTTGTGGGAAGCCGGTGGTTAGAGGAAGGGGCAGAAAACGCAAGGGCTGTCTCAGGTGGCAAACACTCTAGCTTCACCACTAACCAAGACACAAAAAGCGATGCCCAGGTGTTAATACAATGACATTATGTTAACTCTCATTACCTATACTGCAATTTTAAAAAAATATTGTAATCTTATCTTCATAGGTGTGTATAGCTCAGGTAAAAATATTCTTTTCTTAGACTGATCTTCCCTTTGGGATATGTAATATTTTACAAAAATTCAATTAGCTGAATGGAGAAAAAAAAAAGACTGTGTCACACCAATCTTCTAAAAGGGGAGGGCCAATCAACCTTGATACAACTCTATTATAATAATCAATAACATTGAAATCTTACAGTCATTTACTGTCCAAGTTTGCTAATTGGCCTTCATAATTGTTCTGGTCAACCTCTGGGCAGTCATCCAATGAGTGATTACTTCCATCACTTGGTCCACTGGCTGAGCTCATGTCTTGACCACTGGACTTTCCACTGATTTCTAACCTGTAATTAAATTTTTTTTTTTAAATATTATAAGTAATTTACCATATTTTGGGAGGAAGCATAAAATAAAATCAATAATAATAAAGGTGTGAGAAAATTTTACAATTTATGCCATAAAAAAAAAAGTTTGTTGAAGTTGGTAAAATTTTTTAAAAGTTTTAAGATTTATTTAAATTAGGAAGATAAAAGATTTTCAAAATTTGAAAAAGATATCTAAAAATTGGAAAAACAATTTATAACGCTTTTTAGAGAAAAATGCAAAAAATTCAGAAATGTGTGTAAAGAAAAGTTATCAAGAAAATTGAAGATTTGAGAAATTTTAAAAATATGATAGAAAATATCAAAGGTTTTAAAAAAGATGTTGAATTGAAAAAAGATGTGAGAAAATTGAAAATGATATTAATAGAGTTGAGGATATTGGAAGATGAAAAATGTCCAGATGTAAAGATAATTGAAAAATTCAGAAATTTGATAAAAGTAGAAAAAAAATATGCAGATGGAAATTTGATTTAAAAATATTAAGAAATAAAAGGAGCTAAGATATGAGGAAATTAAAAAAATGTGAAAAATTGATAAAAGATGTGAGAAAAATTGATAAAAGATGTGAGAAATTATGCTGAGAAATAAAGATGTTGACTTAGAAAAATTTTACTGATGTGAAAAAATGAAAAAAAAATAATTAAAAACATTTTTAGAAAATTTAAAAAAAAAAAAAGATCAAGATTTTTTTGCAATTTTCTCTAGATTGAAAAACATTTTAAATTTGATATTGAGAAAACTTTTAAAATATTTTTAAAAATTTTCTCGATATCAAATTCAAATTTTCAAAAAAAAAACTTTCAACATCAAATTTAGATCTTTTAAATGTTCTCAATATATAATTTAAAGATTTAAAAAATTTTCTCAATATCAAATTTTTCAAAATATTTTAATTTGATATTGAGAAAATTTAAAAACAATCTCGAGAAAATTAAAAATATTATAAGGAAAATATTTAAAAGTTTTACTGACCTTTCCATTCGCTTGAGGTCTTCAATTTGTGATTTGTACAAATTCAGCTCAGATTTCAATAAATCAATCTCACGTTCTTTATCTCGAAGCTCTTTCTTAAGATTATAAGTTTGTTCCTCAAGTGATTCACAAAGAGCCTAGCAATAAAACAGAATATTAATATCAGTATTTCTTGTTGTGTTTCTAGAGAAAACAATATAAAATCTACTGGAATTGGTCGAATATGGAAGTAAACTTTATTCCATAGTGGATTTATACAAGAGGAAATTTTATATAAAATCTATATAAATTAAGTTTTGATAAAATAACAAATTATACAGGTTCAAATTATGACAGACATTATTACAGCTTATTTTATAAAATTAATCATTTTGAGATAAAAACCTCTTTTTATTGCAAATTATTAATAAGATATGATATTTCTACTGAGTGGATACCAACTTAAAATATAATTAACTTATAATTTACAGAGAAAGATAAACATTACACAGCATTTAAAACATATCAAATTATTAATGTGAAAAGTTTCAGTTTTTATTCATCTATAGTTATTAAGTTATTTGAAATTTTAAACTCTTCAATTAAATTTCAAAGATAGCTTAGCATATTTCTGTTAAATGCAGAGCCTGATGCCTATGGCTCAGTCTGTGCGTTTAGTATAAATAAAACAGTGTATCAAGTAGTCAATCCAAGTAAAAGTAAGAGACTGTGTTGATGTCAAGTCATAAGAATCTTCCATTGTTCAGTTTATTTCCAGCTGCACAAAATATTTGTCTTCAGAAGAAACTTGACTAAAAACAGTTTAGTGAATTATCCCAGCAATTCTAGAATATAAAATCTTGTATTTGTACTTTATCTGCTTTTCATTTGTTTTTTTTTTTGTGGGCACATTGAATATTTTGACAAGCTAAAGTGGTAATCTAGTTAAGTCACCTTACTGACCATGGATCCATTAATTGGTCATGAAAAAAAAAAAAACATTTATATCATTAATGACAGGCAGAGCAGCTTTTTCACGTATTGTCCAGAATAATATTTCATCATTCTAAAAATAACATTGCCATCAGTGATGATAGAAAAGAAGGATATTCCATCATCTTAACCTTCATCATTATAAAAATGCCCCTCCCACCACAAGAGGGTCAGTAGAGTAGACTAGGGTACCTGTAGCAGTAGTCAATCCTCATTTACCAGTCTTGATTCAGAGCTCAGAAGCATCTACGTGGCATTGTAGGTGATTGTTTTTTTTTTTCATCTACAACCACCATCCCAAAGATGAAACATCACAAGCTTCTCAGATCATCTCCATTCTCTTCGTAGTCCATTAGGAAGAAGGAAGTTCCATTTGTACAGCTTCTTCCCAAGAATTTCTACTTTGTGCAACAAATTCCCAAAAGGATTGATTTGTTTGTTTAATGGCACATCAACTCCTTATTGGTCATTTAATACAAAAATTTAAGCTTTGGAGCTTTGACATAATAAAAATATGATATATGTTATTCTGCTTTCACAATTGAATACATGGTAGATGATACTCAGATTTTGTGCATATGCATGTTTCTGTGGATATAATTACTAGAGGCAGTGATGTGTTTGTTTAATGTTATAGTTTTGATGGAGTTATATTTTGGAATACAGTTTGATTTCTTTCAGAAATCACTGGATATTATATGGATTAATGTCATGAAAGTATTCTTTCATATTTATTCATGTATTGTTGGTAATTTTAGGTATTCTTTCATATTTGTTGGTAATTTTAGGTATTTTTTTTTTAATAAAAATGTATTGCTGATATTTTCATTATAAAGAGGTATTTTTATACTTTTACAGTGTTTTGTTTGGGTGTTTACTATTTGCCTACAGCTGGGACCCTAGTAGGTGCTACCACCCTGGGTCAAGGTGAAAATGGGAACAACTGCAATTAAGATGCCCCTTGAATCTCCCACTCAGAGGCTTTGCTGCCAGATGTAGTTTATTGTCATACCCAGGAATATCCTAAGAAGATATGTCCCCAATCTAAGGTTAACCATTATCTTTCCTACATATCCTCATAATCTGCACTTCTTACCTCCTCCTCTGACATTCATACAATAACCTCATTCAGTAACTCTCTACAGTGAATGATTCTTGGGTCATGTATTAGGTAAACAACTAAAAAAAAAACAAAACAAAAGTGACATACCCGACTCTCTTCCAAACTGTCATGGGGCCCTGGTGGGTCATCTAAGCAGAAAAATTCTCTTACAGGTTGACTGAAAGTAGAAAAAAAAAAAAAATCAAATTATTTTTATTACAATCTCAAATTCAAAAAAATACATCAACACCAAATACGTTTACCCATTATACACAATAGTTTTGTTTTTAGCTCTAAAACAATGGGCATCATCAATTGGGGATTAGCTTTCCCTTGTCTCTCTTTCCCTCTATTCGACCTGTGAGTATCAGATTCTCCAGGCCCTCCTTCCTCATTATGTGCTGCAGGAACTTCAGCTGGCTCTTCCTGATGTTAAGTATAAGCCTCCTCCTTGTTTGCATCCTCTCTAAGACCTCATCGTTGTTCACATGCTCAGTCCATGATATCCTTAGCATCCTTCTGTAGAACCACATCTTTGTCACCTCAAATCTCTTCTTCATCTTTGAGGAAATCGTCCAGCATTCACTGCTGTAAAGGACAGATGTCACATAACAGCTCAGTATCCTTTTCTTAATTACCAAAGAAATCCTCCTGTCTCGCATTACTCTGCCCAGTATTTGAAATGTGTCCTTGGCCATCCCAATACGTCTACAGATCTCAGTGTCGCACTTACCATCCTCTGTCAAAATGCTTCCCAGATATTTAAACTTCCGCATATTTCAAATATTTTCTTGCTGGTCAATCCATTTTTCTTAACCAAAACTTTACTCTACCTCACTACTGTTGCTTTCTAAATTAATGGTAGTTCCCTATTTCCATGAAGGACCCAACCTCTAACACAGACAACAGGTCCATCCAATATAGCTCTACATTCATCTACATTCATTACCATTTTTCATGTACTTCTTCATCCAATTTACACATTTCTCTTATATGTGATTATTTGGCTGCTTTCAGTTCATAAGCCAATGTTTTTAATATTCAGCATCTTTTCTATTTGTTCATATTCACAAAACAAACTTCCTCAAATAGTTTCTTGCTGAACAATCAAAATCTTTTATTTATTAACCCAACAGATTTTATAAGTTTAAACGTTATTTTCAGTGGATACCCATATTTGAGTAGATCAGTTAGTTATGTGCCATGCGTGATACATGCTTAGGTGATCATGTATCTTTTGATACATGACTGACAAGGCAGATTTTTTTTCTCCCCACTGTAGGTTGCCATTTCTTTCTGCGGTAGACCAGTTGCCATCCAAGGCTATATAACCCAGTCTGTCCTGCTATTTACCCATAGCTGGGGGAGAGGATTCATACATTTCCCAAGGGTATTAGCACATAAGTGAATATAATGGATTTGACTGGAATTTGATAATGTATTGGATTCAACTGGAATAGATATTGGAGTAGAGACTCTGTTTATTTATTAAACAGCATATTTATTTATTTTTATTTAAAATCTCACCAAAATGAACAAAAAAATGTAAACATTTCTAATAAACGCCTTATATAACAATATAGAATCTGACAATATTACAGATTTTGGAAGATAATAAAACTGCACTGAATGACTTGTAAGGGTTAAAATGAAAATATTAATTAGAGGGGATCAAGAATTGGATTCACTCAAAGCTTTGAGTTTGGGAAAATAATCAAGATATGAAAAAACAGGTATTTTGACTAGCAGGCTGACTATATTTAGTCGTCCCCCCACAAGGGCGTCATGTGGCACAAGGCCTTTTTAACGTGGGCATTTCCCGAGCCATTAGGCTCGGCCAAAAAATGGCCCATTTGAACCCGTATAAACGGGTTCAGGGCCGGTTTTACCTCCCCGAAGGAGACTCCGCCCTTCGGCGTAGCCTCCTTCTGGTTCCTCCTGCCCGTAGGAAGAGAGTTCAAACCGAGCAGTCGGTTCAAAAGTGAACGACTGACTGACTAGCAGGCTGACAAGGTCAAAAGTTGAGAATTGTCAAAACCATAACATCACTTGAATCACAATCAAAACAATAAATGCGTGTGTGCAGGAAATTAAGAAATCCTCAAGTGCTGAAATTGGGAGGTCCTAAGTGACTTAGGATCACCTCCAGGGAAATCACATGGTTAGTATTGATTTGTAGTCAAGTCTGTTAAAACATATCAGATATAACAACAGTCCTCTCTTCCCCGGTGGGATACAGGTTCAAATCCTATTAGAAAGTGCATATTTTCTTTAATAAGATTTCTTGAATATTCAGGGTGGTAGATGAAAATAAATAAATGGAGTGTCTACTTAAACATGGGTATCCACTAAAAATAATATTTAACGTGATAAAATCTGTTGGATCAATAAATAAAAAAATCCTGCCAAAAACTACTTCTGAAAAGTCACATAGAATTGACCAGTTGGGCTGTGTGTGTGTGGGGGGGGGATTTGGCAGATGCTCTATTTATTCAGGTGCACCAGGTGTCAGGACCTGTCATCAGATCCAGCTATCAAAAGACGATGTCAGAACAGACACCCTTTTGCCAGACTATAACAACTAAAATGGATAGCAGATGTAACTTGAAGAGAAAATAATAACATAATCAAGATGTTGACATTCCACACTACTACAAATAAAAGGTTAGCAAGGAAACCTCCATCAATACTGGAAAGAGCAATAACAGTTACTGGACTTGACAAATATGTTTTCCTGAAACACTGTTTTAAAGAGAAAGATTTTGTACATTTCAACTGCAACACAAATAAAATCCATAGCTAAAGATGCTGGAAAAATAACTGGCTCCGTCTACCACCTCAGAAAGAACCCGACTCCTCCTGCTATGCTGTATCTTTACAAGAACAAGATCAGACCAAAAATGAAGTTCTGCAGCCATATCTGGGCTGGATCTGCCAAGTTCAAAAGCATTTACATGGCCTTGTGGGTGATGAATTATTTTCTGCCCTTCAACCTCTTTCCCATGGACCAAACATCACAAATCTATCACTACTCTATTGCTATTTCCATGGAAAATGCTGAGAAAAGGTATATTCCCTTTTCCACCAGTTCAGACCTTTACAGCTAAGGCCTACCAAGATATGTAGTAGCATCTATTTATCTTACGAGATAAAGGGAGTGATGTGTTTGGTCAAAATTCAGTCCTTTGGTGGTGAGAATGGAGATGACAGAAAATTTTGGTTAATAATGAATGTGAGAACTTACCACTCGCAGAGAATCTTGCTGCTGAGAATTCTGTTAATGAATTCTTGCAGACCTTGTCGTCGTTCTTCTAGAAAGTGACGATCAAAATTGTCCAAGAACCAACGTTTAGGTGGAAGGGGAATGAAGAAGTCTGGAGACAGATTTTTCAACTGGAAAAGATTAAAAAAAAAAAAAAAAAAAAAAAAAAATCAATTTTTCAACTGGAAAAGATTAAAAAAAAAAAAAAAAATCAATTTTTCAACTGGAAAAGATAAAAAAAAAAAAATCAATTTTTCAACTGGAAAAGATTAAAAAAAAAAAAAATTAAAAAAAAAAATTAAAAAAAAGAGAAACTAAGAATGATTTATTTGAATTCTTGGAATATTTCAAATATCACATACCATTTGCTGCAAAAAATAGGTTTACCACCAACAAGTGATGGGGCTGTAAGATATGAAAATGTCTGCTAGCAGTGTGGGAACACCAGAAGAAGCTGCTGCATCTTCATCTGTAATGCCAGATGAAAAAGTTGCATCTTCATCTGTAATGCTAGATGAAAAAGTTGCATCTTCATCCGTAATTCCAAATGAAAAAGTTGCATCTTCATCTGGTTTCCAGATGAAAATGCAGCCTTTGTCCAATCTTGAAGCCTCTTTTCTCATTTTTCCTTGAAGCTCTTCACCAATTTACAGTTAATGTTCAGAGTCAAAACATGTTCAGAGGTACCTGGGTTAATAGAATTTTGGGGACTTTTCATTATGTATGTCCCCACCCCATGTCTATATAAAAAAAAAAAAAAAAATATTTTTAGATGAGGCTTTTTTGGTGCAAAACTAAAATTTTTAACAATTTTGGAACTTAAACTATTTTTTTAAAATAAATTCATAAATATCACAAAGTTTTTAATATTCTAGATAATATTTTTTTCAAAATTGCACAATTAGCCTTTTTTTAATTTTTGTCTTGTTTTGCACTATTTTGTCTAATTTTTCACCTATTATGTCTGTTCAATTAGCTTTAAAAATGAGCAAAAATTGAGAAAAATAAACAAATTTATTTAAAATTACAAAAATTACTTCAAAAATCTGGGTTTGGATTATAATCCTGAATCTTAAATCCTGAATGTCAAAGTCCCAAAACAGCAGAATCCCAAAATTTAAAATCCTGAAAGATCAGAATCTGGAAAAATAGTCTTTGGGAGAAATTAAAAAAACAAAAATTTGGAAATACCTTTATTTCTAAACATTTACAAAATCCCGTTTAAATAGTGTTTATACATTTGAAACACTCAGAATTCATTAAAAAATATAAAACCAGAATATATGAATAATTTATAATGCAAGATTATGAGCAAAAACCCTAAGATAGTTCATTTCTTTTCGTTCTGAACAAAACTCTCCTTGGAGAATGCGTTCACATTCGTTTTTTATGTGATGCAGCTCTTTTTGAAATTCCCCAATAATGCGATAAATACTGACATTATTTACTAAATTTTCCGATTACATATGTTATATTCTGGTTTTAGATTTTTTTTTAATGAATTTTGTAGGTTTCAAATGTATAAACACTATAATAACAGCAGAAAATTTGATCGTCATAACTGTAGCTGTTCTGGCTTCATATAAGATAAACTGATAGATTAAAAAAAAAAGACATTTGGAAAGTTAGAGTATAGTTGGTGTCTGAGCATGCATATCTGCTTCAGTGGCGAACTAATCTCTGTTGCAGACAACTGCACATGCACATTTGTGCTTGTTCAACACCCACAGAGCCTAATACTGCAGGTATACTGGGCAGTCCTTAGTTGCAGTTTTTGAGAGAGAGAGCATATAATCTGGCATGATTGACAGTTTGAATAAGGCCTGTTTGCCCAAATCCTTAATCATGATTTTGTGACTTCATGCTAGCATAGACATTAATGTTTTCCAAAAAAAATTATCCACCTGGGGAGACTGAATGAAGCCTTGCAAGTGAAACTCACAAGACTTCATTCACCCCCAGTGCTGCTTTCTGGCGGTGATCTCCCCAGGTTGATAATATCAAGAAGTTACCTCCCTGACAAATCAACAATGGTAAAATTTGAACCTAGGGTCTCATGGTCTGAGTGCTAACATTCTAAACACTTAGCCACATACCCACAATTATACCAGATGCTCCAGAATTATCATATTTGAGAGCATATAAGGTGCACTTTTTTCTTTACTAAAAATATCTTTTAAAATTCCCGTCTTATATGCTATATGTAGTTTTAAAATTTGCGATATTTGGCCGAAATTAGTTACCTGGCAATTCCTATTAGCTTAGACTTTAGAGTAACTCTTATATACATACTGTCATTATTTAAAAGGCTATTATGCAGATTAAAAGTTTTATCATTGATAATATTCATTATATTAATTTCATCACGTTTAATATTAGTACTTTGTTTCACTAAAATTATATGCAATAAATTCACATTATATATTTGTAAAATATATTTCTTTCATTAATATTTTTCTTGCGATAACTTCCGGTTGGATTGGTATAAATACAATCAGAATTTTTATATCGTAATTATTCCACTAAGACGTTTACAAGATGCAGGTTGTACAGATCATATAAACAATATAATAAAGTTTTATTTTTCATTTAATTGTAATCATGGCTTGTTTAACCAAAATAAATAAATATAGCCTAGGCTGTACCATTTACTAATAATTTTACTAATTACTAATTTTTTCTTGATTTGCCCTGCTGAAATTGGGGTGCGTCTTATACATCTGTGCATCTTATATGCCGTTAAATATGGTAACTATCTATTTCTCTCTATATATATTTCTCTCTCTCTCTATCTTTTTCTCTCGATATATATTTCTCTCTATCTCTTTCTTTTTCTCTCTCTATATATTTCTCTCTCTCTATCTTTTTCTCTCTATATATATTTCTCTCTCTCTATCTTTTTCTCTCTATATATATTTCTCTCTCTCTCTCTATCTTTTTCTCTCTATATATATTTCTCTCTATCTCTTTCTTTTTCTCTCTATATATATTTCTCTCTCTCTATCTTTTTCTCTCTATATATATTTCTCTCTCTCTCTATCTTTTTCTCTCTATATATATTTCTCTCTCTATATCTTTTTCTATGTACAGGGTAGTTTATTTCAGTGAAATCAGACAATTTTTTTAAGAACTCACTTTTATTTCTGTTCATGTTTAATATGCCTTAGAAGTATACAAATTTCTAATTTTGCTTATAACTTTATAACTTTTTCTAATTTTATTTTCATTCCCTTTCAGAAACCTATTAATAATGAATACACAAGAACGCATCTTTGTTGACCCCCCCACCCCTACCCTAGCCCGGATTTCTTTGCATAGGGTTTCATAAAAACAAAGGCTTAAAGCCAAAAGATCAGTAGTTTAGCAGAGAATCAAGAAGACGTTCAGTTTGCAGTGCAGGAGATAACTCCTGAAATGCTTCAAAATGTGTTTTGTAACACTAAGGATAGATTTTAAATTTGCAGAGCACATATTGAAAATGTTTAATAAAGTTTTGGTGCAAGATTTATAAATCTATTTGTTTTGTATCATAATTAAGCAACAAAATTGTGTCAGTTTTTAAAATTTTGCACAATTTCATTGAAATAGTTAATTCTGGGTCACTCTGTATATTGAATTGTTTCAAGGTTATGTTAATTACATTTCATTTTGGATGTTTTGTTTTAATTTTTTTATTTCTGAAATTATTTTGGGGCACTAAAGTTCATTATAATCATAAATTATGATGAAGTTGATTTTTTTTGTTTTTATGGTAATGAAATTAATACAAGGCTTGTCAAACTGGTTTACTTCAAAGTGTCTAAATAAAAAAACAGAAAATATTCACACGATAGTTTAACACTGATCTATATTAGTTTATTTCAGGCTTATTTCCAAATTGAATTGTCAGTTAAAGCCGCAGGACAAGTTTTTGATTTTTAAAACAGATTCCAAATTATCAAAGAAAAACAAAAGGAAGACAATGTTAATCGTCTCCAAGTGGAATGACAAGTTTTATTCCATATTGCTTTGATGTCGCATGAGGATTTTAAAAATTGCTTTCCTAACACAACATTTATATGCATCAATTACCATAGAAAATACAAGAAAAATTCCAAACTATCATTTATGATGCAAATTTCATATAAAAAATAAGCAAAAAATCCCAAACACAAAATATTTGAGCTTCTATCTTTTTGATAATAAAGGTTATTTTTTTTAATGAGTTCTGCTTTAACATTTGGAATCAAACTCAGAGTATTGAGATAAAAAGCAACAATAATAAAAAAGGGTAAAAACCAGCAATAAAGTAGTATTAATGAAGGGTTCTATTTCATCCATATGTTGAGATAAAAGGCAATAATGAAATATAATAATATTAATAAAAAAGACCATACTGTTCCAGAGTGTTGGCATATAAAGCAATAATAATAACATGTATTAAAATAATAGTAATAATGAAGAGTGTATCAATCCAGAGTGTTGGCATAAAAGGTAATAATAATGAAATAAAATGATACAATAGTAATAATAAAAACTGTATTGATTTAGAGTGTTGGGATGATGTAATAAAATGAAGAGTGAATTCATTAGAATATTGCAATAAAAAAACTAAAACAACTTATAATGCTGATGTCAAATATAGTAAAAAAAAAAAAAAGAAAGAAAAAAATTAAATATTTAACTATGAAGAATATACAATATAATTGAAGCTGAGTTTAATCAATTTTTAAGTCTTGTCAACTCAACTCTCAAAAAGTCAATGTCTCTTTTACTAAATTCTGATTAACAAAGCCAAGTTCTAAGTTTGAAAATCAAGCACATCATACTTGTAAGTCAGTCTCATGTATAAATTTCTAGTTAAGAAAGCATCAATTTATAATATGCTTTGTGTATATGACAACCCTGAGAGCTGATAAATCTTTAATTCATCATGTACTTTTGGTCAAGAAATCATCGTAATATACTTTGTGTATAAGTCAACCTTAGAGACAATAAATCCTTAATTCATCATTTATTTTTGACCAAAAAGTTTATATAATATGCTTTGTGTATTAGTGAACACTTAGAGCTGATAAGTTATTAATTCATCATATTTAATTTTGTCCAAAAAATCATCAATTTACGATATACAGCTGCTATGATTTTATCCTTTATTAGAGGCCAAGATATTACAAGTTGTAATGAATAACCCGAAGCGAATAAACTTAGGAAAGCTTTATTCAACTTAATACAGCTACAAAAAGAAAAGAATTAAGCTAGCTTATTTATAAGCATTTCTGGAGTCTGTCCATTACACCAAACAGGGGGAGCAGGTTGTGGGAATTACTTACAACATTCTTCCTCACCGGCTAGTTATTCGTACAGAAGTAAGTCTTTCCAACAACCTGGCATTTTGCGGGTCCTTTGGGAACATCTTAATTGTTCAGGTGACTGGTGGCCGTCTACGTCAGACAATAAGTTATCGTTATCGTGATTAATGCATTTCTGCGTAGAGGGTCTAGCCTTGAAACGGCACCGTTTTTTTTTATGTTTCGGTTGCTGGGTGTCTGAAAAATAAGTGTCAGTCTCTGATGTAGGGTGAGTCCGTTTTTGTGGTATCGGTCTTTCTTCAGAATCAGATGTAGAAGAAGGTTCATAAGGA